CTTGTTCTGAATGGTTTGTTTTGTAGGTACGTCTTCACTGGGATCTATATTTTTGAAGCTTTGATAAAAATATTGGCAAGAGGCTTTATTCTGGATGAGTTTTCTTTCCTTCGAGATCCATGGAACTGGCTGGACTCCGTTGTCATTGCAACAGCGTAAGAATGTTAAAGATTTTTATTGGAGACTCAGGGTGGGAGAGAAGCCCCTTTGCTTCCATCAGGGCACGTGTGGATCAGAGTGCGAGCCTGGCCGATAGTGCCTGTTGCTCTCCGTGCAGTGCTGGCGAGTTCTGAACAGCACCAGGCAGCCAGTTGGCGGAGGTCTGCAGGCACACATCCATTTCCAGGCCAACCCTCAGGCTCTTGCTCCCTTGGCCATTCCCTCACTGAATGCTGGCCTGTTTCGGGCGAGGCTCTTGAAGGATACAGGGATTGTGACAATGGAAAACCAAGAACAAAACCCAGACATAGTTCTCACCCTCTTTCTTAGTTTCCTATTGCTACTGTAAGAAAAAGACCACAAACGGGTGGCTTTAAAGAACAGAAATGTGTTTTCTCCCAGTCCTGGAGGCTAGAAGTCTGGATTCAGGATGTGGCTCTGGGGGAGGTCCTTCTTCGTCTGTTTCAACATCCAGCAGCTGTGACAGTCCTTGGCATTCCTCAGCAGCTGGCTCCCCTTGTGTGTGTCTCTGTGTTGGTTTTGCTCTTTTTATAACTCAGAAGTGATTAGGTTTAGGAACACCCTACTCTGGTTATGACCTCATTCACGTGATAAAAGAAACTCCGATTTCCAAACAGGGTCATATTTACAGGTACAGGGAATAAGATTTCTACATATTTTGGGGTACACAATTCAATCCATAACACCCTCTTAAAGCTCACAGTCCAGAGGGGAAGATAAACAACTAATAACCATTAGTATATGGCATAAATCTGTTGTTGTCGAGTTGATTCTGACTTGTAGTGACCTGGTGGCACAATAGCTCAGTGCTCAGCTACAAACCGAAAGGTTGGTAGTTCGAACCACCATGGCTCCATGGGAGAAAGCCCTGGCGATCTGCTCCATGAAGACTGCAGCCTAGAAAACCCTATAGGACAGTTCTGCTCAGTCACATGGGGTTACTATGAGTTGAAATCAACTCGATGGCACTCGACAACACTATATGGGATGGTGAGTGCTAGGATAGGGGATA